GATGAGAGACTGGACAGTCACCACTTTCCAGTGCTCTGGCACAGAGCAGTTGATTCCCAGGCTTACTGCATTCCTCAGTGCAGGTACTCAAATCACTGACAGTCACAGAGGACTGTCCCAGGTGGTTAACTGGAGTGGTCACACAACTGCTGTGTGGACACAGTCAGCGGCTGAAATGAAAATCCAGCACATTTTCCTGTCTCTTGTGTTGGAGAAGCTTTTTTTGTTTTGGTTTGGTTTGGTTTGTTTTTTTTTTTTGCCATCTCTCTTGGCAGAAATCTGTCAGTTGTATTACAAACAGTGCTGCCATTGAGACAGGGAGTGATGCTTCTCTTGACACATCTCCAGCTGCCCAAATTGTTGACAGACTTTCCATTTAGGCAGGCACTGTAAAAACAGAACAATTTCTTTTCAGAAAAAAAAAAAAATAGAAAAAAACTCTCCACAAAATAATCATGTCCTAGCATTGTTTTTTCTATGTAATCAGTGGAACAAAGCTATGGAAAAGAGGTATTCATGCTGCTGAGAGAGAACTGGCTGGGGTGAAGCCCTGTCTCTGCCCGGGTACCCAAGAAACTGGGGGCCTTCTGTCCTTGTTCCACAACCTGGAAGTGCCTCTCTCTGCAAATGCAAAAAAGGGCACTCCTGCTAACATCCCCCTCCCTTGTGAGGGGATACCAGTGTCACCTTGGGTTTCAGAGAATGAGAAGCACAAATTCTGTCTGTGGTCAAGGGAAAACGGCTTCCCGAGGCTCCTCTAAGGAAGTGAGGGGATCCCTCCAGGCACCAGTTCAGAATTGCTCCAGAGCACTCTGCCCCACTCTGTAATGGGTGTCTGGAGAGACTAACCCCACCAGGATGGAATTAGTCCTCTTTACAACCTACCTTCCTCAAAGTTTCCAACCCTTTTTTCCCCCCCTTTTAACAGAAAAGCTAGTTTCGGTAATCTCTTTTTGGTTTGCAGTATTTAGGATTCCCACTGCCCATGAAGCAATCTGACCTTCTTCATAAAGTGAAACCACCAGAAGCACATTCCCATCAGTACTGAAAAGCAAAATGCATGGCAGAGCATCCCCCTGGGTGCACCTCCACAGTGCCTTATTCCCCATCTACCACACACAACCTGCTTGAAAATATGAAATGATGACTGAATTAGGCTGGAGTTTCTCCAAGAGCCATCTTTTTTCCCCAGGGTAGTACCAGCTATATTACTAAATAATTTCTGACAGATACTAGTTTTCTCTTTTGTTAAAGAAAAAAAAAAAAGAAACAGAATAGCAACAACTTGGGAGAGATGGAGGCTTGACAGCCTGGACAAACTCTCCATCTCAGTGCTCAACTACCATTACACATTTCTTCCTAAAATCCAGCTTGAGTCTCCTTTGTTTAAATCTGTTGGACCTTAAGTGCTGTGTCAGCTGAGTTAGCACAATAAATAACTTGTCCCATCCTCTCTAAGGACGCTCTGAAGAGGTTTGTTTATTGTGTCCTTAATCAGCCTAAACAAACATAACCAATCTTCCATCACGTCCCTAGATCATTCTCATTTCTCTGGTATTGGTCCAGGTTGCCCTTAAATTAGGTTGCCCAGAAGATGGTGGGACAGCTGATTGCAGTGAGCCACCAAAGCTGCTGTCCCACCTCCTCTTCCACAAATGGTGCAGAGACATGCCAAGGAAAAGGTAGTGTCTGGAAGGCAAGTGTCTTTGCTTTGTTCTTAATGAACAAATCGTGCTACAGCAGCCTTCAAAATAAGACAAATATTTACTCTTACTTACGTCACAGAGATTTTTCTATTTAGGAGCAAAGTCAAGGCCCTTGTATAAGTAGGGCCTTCTATAAGTCAGTCTGTAAAGGAAGTTGACCTTAAATGAACTGTTTGTGTTGTGTTAATGTATGTTAATGTAGTCCACAGGAACAAAATGAGAAACTCTCTTTATTTTAAGGAGAAAAATCCATCTTCCTCTCTACATTATGCTCTGCTGGAAACAGTGCAATGCCTTTCATTGTTTAGTAAACACAAATGTTGGGGATCAGGCTGTGGTCTGGAAAATAACTGACCATTAACCCAGTTTCCATGACCACAAAAGAAGTTCCTGAGAAAGTTTTTTAATTTATGGGGGTTTATTGCTTCTGCTTGATACTATGAATTGGGTACATTCACAGCATCTGCTACAGCAAACTATGCTTTAACTGTTACAGCTTTGGTGGAATCACAGTATTTTCTGCCTGTTCTGCAGAGACACACAGACAACAGTCATTTGCTCAAGTAGAAACTACCAAAGGAAATATAACACAGGCAGATATTTCAACCTCTCTATACTCTCAAAGTCCCCTGTTCTGAGTTTGTTTTTCCAAATCTATCTTCATTTTTTGCCCTATTTTTATTTTTCTCCCACTATAAGTGGTAAATGAATTTGTAAACCAGCTGGCCCGCAATATTGCATTATTGCTTATAAAAAATATGAACATGTTGAAGGTCTGAACTGTGTAATTTTTTTTCTAGGAGAGTGCTTAGTATTTTATTTTAGTTGGGTGTATAAAGGCTCAGGTTCATAGACATAAAGAAAATTATATTCCTGTATCCCAGTTAAAGACCTTCTAGGATGTTGTGCCTAAAAAGGCATGGAACAACCAGTTGGTGATATGCACTGCAGTGATATGAAGTGATAAATGGTCAGTGTTGTCCAGACTCAAAAATCAGCATTTAAGATAGATTTTCCAAATTTGTGGCAATGAAGCTTTGGCATAGTTGTAGAACAAGAAGGGAGGGTTCAGCCTGTATGCTCCATGTTCCCTGTTGATTTGTCATGTCCTTTGGCCTGAACTGTTGAAGGAACTTTTGGGAAATAAGACCCTCAGGCTGCTTTTGTCAACACTTACAGACCTTGAGGAAAGGGCTGACAGAAGAAGTAGGGCTCCTACTTTACATGCTTGAGTTATAACATCCAGCAAGTCTAATCTAAAGGCTTTGTGCTAAACTTGAGTACCAAAGCTTTGAAGTTAAGTCACCCTTGAGACAAATACAGTAATATATTTTTAATACTTACGGTTGGGTCCTTCTTTGTATTCATTTGGTGGGACATCTGTTGAAACAAATTCACAAGTTTAAGCATGTAGGGTAGATAACTATAGTGTTTATCCAAATGAGATTAATATTAAGCAACATCCACCAAAGCTGAGGGTTCAATGTGCTAAATGCTCTTTGAAGAGCAAAATGCAGTCCTTACTCCATTGTCTTACAATATAGGTTGTAAGTATAGTATAGTTTAGTCCTTACTATTTCAGGAAGGACAGATTTGGATAATAAAATAATGAGGTAATAGCCCTGCTCCATGTCTTGGGACAGAGTCCTGCACCCCCCTTGGGTGGTTTCTGAGCAAAGGACATGACTTCTAGAACAGCTGCTGCAGATACTGGACAAGATCACTACCCTGCTTGCTCCTGCTCTTTTCTGAAGCACCCAGGCTTGCTAGCATGGAGGAAGAGGGTACGGATTGAAAACGAGGATTGTCCTTGTCCATGAAAAGTCTGGTTGTCCCTGCTCCCTTTTCTCAGGTGTTAGCTCCTGTACAGCTGCAAAGTAGTTTACAGCAAGTACTCAGATAGCTTGGCAGACTCAGTCTGGTTCACAAGACCTCTTTTAGAGCTCCCTTTTGTTCTGTTAGGCCAAGCATTGATGTCATGCAGCAACACAAGAGTACACGTGTGACAGTGAGACAAGCTGTATTTCTGTAGAAATCCGCTTGATCCTGGTGGGATCCTGACCCTTTATTTTCCAGCCAGTGACTCTAAAGCTCTCAGGATTGAATTATGCTCTGATTTCTGCTTCAGACTGTGCTAAGCAGAGCAAGCTACTGAACTCAGTTCTATTCCGTGGAGGAGTATCCCTTCCATCTGTCCAGAAACAGCCTGCAGGGATCACAGCTGACAAACTATGGCCTGAACAGGCACAAAGTCTGAGTTACTCTCACATCCAGCAGCTAACTCCTGTGAGGCTCAGGCACAAGAGCAGAAAACCATAAAGAATAACATGCCCTGGGGTGCTATGTGTCGTCCCCAGGGCACCACAGGTTTTTGAAAACAGCACAGTTTCCTGCAGCGTGCATTTCCCTGTGTGCAGGCAGCTTAGTCGTACCTACCAGTGACACAGTGGATAACATGAAGTATATTTGTAAGTGAAAAAGAATTTTTGAGATATTTGGTCGTGCAAATGAAGTGTCTCATTACCTGTATAGGACAGCAGATGGGAGGACCTCCGTCTCCACAGCCAGCAGATTAAAACAGCTAGAAGGCCTATCAGAATGACAATGCAAATGATGCCAGCTGCTTGAGCAAGTCTTCCTTTTTTTCCTAGGTTTTCTGTGCTAGAACCATTGCTTTGCTTCAGCTCCGTGTCTAGAATAAAATAGAAAGGGGATGTAATAAGGTGTAAATGTTCACATTTCATACCAGGCAAATATTTCACCAAATTTTACATATATAAAAAAATTTTGAGGGATTAAATATTTGTGCTATTTGTATCACTGTGATACTGGTAATTTCTTCTGAGCAAAGCACATCTCCAGCTAATAATGTTTAATAATACAATACCAGTTTACTCTTCCTTTTCATCACACTGCATCCATCCTTCTTTCTTCTTTTTTGTTCTTTCCTGCCAGCCTTGAGAGACTTTATGTTTGGGCTTGTACTTAGATTCAGTTAAAAATAAATCTATACAGAATATATAATGTAAATCTGAATGTATTCAGAAAAGGGAGTGAAAACCTGTTTCCCTGAAATTAATGGAGAATCTTCACCTACTCCTGCAAACTGAATGTTTTAAATCGCATCCCTTAACTATTTCAAGTGTCATGTACTTTTAAAAACAAACAGAAACTAGTAATATGAAGGTCTTTTCCCCCAGAAGACAACATGACAGAATGCCATTAGGAAACTAATGACAAGGTTACTCAGTTTTCCTTTAATTTGGGATGGTATGGTATGGTATATTATCATTTAAAGTATGGTATATTATCATTTAAACACTCTACTGTGCAACTTTTGCTCATGTGCACAGTTTTTGTTCCTGGAAATAGTTTATGTAGTTTGCCTATGTTTGTGGGATCAGTGTTGTTAAGTCCAGAGTATGTGATTCCTTGGAGTGTTTAGGTACACAGGTTGTGGGTATCCAGCTACAGTTATGCAAACAGTCCAACCTCCTTGCACCAGAGTGCAGAAACCTGTGAGAGAAAGGGGTAGCTGGAGGTAGGACCAGGAATTGCAGTGAGATCAAAGAGCCACCTCCAGGTAAGCCTTCCCACTCCATACAGCTTCTCTACACAGTTTTGTTTGAAATAATGACCTCCAGCAGTGGTACTATAGCTCTAACTTTATAGTTTTCTTTTTTTTTTATTTTTTAATAGCTTTCTTATTTTGTGAAGAGTTGAGTGCTAAATACTTGCTTTTACTATTGATCACTCACGTCAGCAATAAATAGCATGTTATACTTGTGCTATTAGGTGTATTGTTCTATTCAGCTAACATTACCCACATTTCTGCAGGCCTACTTTAAATAGTGGACTGTAATGAATTGAGTTTTGGAGACTGAAAACTGAACTTTGAAACTAGGCAGAGTAAAAAGTAAATATGAGAGCTGCAAAGCAGTTGGGTAGGCAGTCAGAAATCATGGATCTGCTGTATGGTGGCCCTTGAAAAATAACTTAATTCCCCAAGTCAGCATGCTCCCGAGGAACCAAAGAGTAAAGCACAGTGACTGCCCGGCGTGCAAGAGCTCCTCAGAGCTGTTGTCATCATACACTTTATGGGGTATTCACTTCAATGTGAAAGAAGTAAACATAAAATGCATGGCTAGGCATAATTAGCTTGAAACACAACCTGAGCTCTTCTCAGCACCTCTTGGAACTACTAAATTAACACATAGGCCTTGTTAGTGTGTATCTACGGACAGAGACGCACTGGTTGATGTTCCTGCTATCTAGAAAACATGAAGCAGCGTGAAGGGACTTACAATTGGCTGATAGATTTTCCTGCAGCATTTCATTTTCTATGGAGCACTCTATTTGCATGTTGGAAGTGGCTTTCACCGTCAGGGTGCTGAAAACGCTGTAGGTGCCGTCGGCGTGGGAGATGATCTCCAGCGTTGATGCGTTCAGGAGACTGTTGTTCATTTTATTTATCCAATAAACGTTGGGCTTTGGGTATCCATTGCCAGACCTGCAGCTGAAAGTCACCTCCTCTCCAGTACTGTTTCTTATTGGTCCACTGAGTATTGGTTGGCTGTAACTAGCTGGAGAGCAAGAGAAGAAGAAACAGTCGCTGATACTTTGAAACATATTGAGAAGACAATATTCTGAGGTGGGCTCTGAAGCAGAACTTCTGGGTTTCACATGGCCTTCACAACTTGAAAGGGAAACACCTGCAGGTTCTCTCAGCCCAGAGAGCTGAGAGAATTACTGGAAGGAAGGGCAGAAAGCTAAAGCCAAACCCAGAGGAGGAAAGCAACTTCTTAAGCTGCTGTCACCCAGTCACATGCAAGAGTCTTAATATTAATGAAAAACAAGAGGAAAAGAAACACACACTGGGTAAACAGTTGTTACAGGTATTCTCCCAGGTTTAGATTCCCTGTCTGTAATATTTAAGTTAAGCACACATCATTTCAGCAAAGGGCTGAAGTATGTTTCCAAGGGTGTGTTTAAATATAATATTGAAATAGCATGAATTTGAAAAACTGAAATGAGAATTTGGGCAAATATGTGCAAGTGGCACAATTTCTTACCTGCTAAACTGAGAACCACTTCTGCCTGGTGAACCACTTTGGGAAATTCTTTTTTCTCCTGTACTATACATTTGTATGTATGTTTATCACTCTGGCTGACATTCAGTAGCAGTAGAGAAAAATCACCATTTTCCAACCTGTCCCAGAATAATTGAGTCCTGTTTTTAAAATGAATACACTGATTGCTGTAGTTGTCTTGACCAGAGACCAGTGCATGCACAACTGAACACTTCACTTGATCGGCGATTTGCCAATATACCCGTAGATTTTTCAATTGCAAGTCTTTTTTGTCATAAATGCAACTTAGTGTAGCGTTGTCTCCGAGTTTACTGATGACATCCTTCTTCTCTAGTGCAATAACTGCAGGATCAAAAGAGAGAGAGAAATAAGGGAGGTTGTGTGGAAAAAGGGTCATTATTTTCAAGTACATTCTACCACATACAGACTCCAGTATTAGTATTTATAACAGGTGTGTGTGTGTTCACTTCATAGTCATTCCTACCACATGACTTGCCAGTGGCTAATTCTCTCCACATCCATTTTTCTGTATATTGTCCAAAGGGACCATTTCTCTGAGGACCAACCAGTCTTAAGTGTTCCCAGCCCCATGGATATCCACATGTTGCACTTTGCCCACTGACTGCAGACACATATTCAAGCCCTAATGCTTTAGTAATCACTTGGTTTTTTTTTTTAATTAAGAAAAATTCCAAGTAACACGAGGTAAATCACGAGAAGGGGAAACACTGATGAGAAAAAGAGTGCTACCATTATTTTGAGACCCAAAAAATTAAGAAGGGGACTAAAAGCAGTGTTTCTCAAAGCAGGCATGCCATAGAAATCACATTTAATTGCTACTATCGGTGACACCCTCTCAATAAACACATACAGATGGCAAACCAGCCTGGCCAGATGCCTCCAGTGACACATCCATTAGACATTTAAAACTTAAGGGTCACTTGAGGTAGGTCAGGACCGTATTTGGCTTTCAGAATGCTTTTCCTGCCTTCCAGACTGGAGAAAGGCAGCCTCTCCTCCTGGTGAGCAAGGGGGAGGCGTGACCTGACTGACAAGTGATGTAGAAAGCACAGTGACACCAAGAGGGCCAGGGCAGCTCTGCCCACAGCTTCCCTGCTGAGGATGCACTACTTCTTCACACCAGCAGCCAAAACCTCCTCGGTGCAACTGGTTGCTGATACCAAAGCAGTGTATGTGTTGTGTCAGGCAGGGGGGTGAGAGGGGGTCAGGCATGGGGTTGAATGGGAGAGATTACATCTGGGGGAAGGGATTATGTGGGTGGATGATTTGGGAAAGAAAGATGATAGGACTGAAGGTTTGGAAATGCGGAAACAGGGCATGGTGAGGAGGGAGGGAGGCATCAATATTAAAGGGGGACCTGTGTTTGTGAG